TCAAAATAGGGACGGAGGGAGTATAAAATTCCATATCTGTCATCATCTTAAGTTTCTTCCTCTTTTCATAACCATGCCCAGTTCACAAGATCACAACATGAGCAAATCCTATCATTTTTTAAAGTTAGTTTTTTTTGCCATCTTTTTGGCAGGTGTCTGTGGGATACTTCCTCGTTGATCTTGCTATGATCATTTGGTTATATCCTTCTTTAGGGGGAATGGAGTATGTAAGTGGTTTCCTTTTGCCCTTTTGGTCATTCTCTTGGACAGACCAATTCCTGTATAACTCTAACCACATTGAAATATGCCAATGCTTTTTTCAGGTGGTTCATCACCTCTTTTCCTTAACAGCTCTAACATATGCTATGTTGACTGGCGAGGGACAACTTTATACCTTCATGGTCTTGATTTCTGAGGCAACCACTCCCAGCATTAATTTGAGATGGTAGTACACATTTCTTGTGTGTGTGTGTGTGTGTATTACTGTCCTCCTATCATTGATGTGTGAATCTTGTGCTCATGCACAGGTATCTTGATGTGGCTGGAATGAAGAAAACCAAAGCATATATAATCAATGGAGTAATAATATTTTTAGCCTGGATGGTACAATGAAACATTCTCTGATGTTCCTAATATGTCCAAATTTATCCTAGCCTCAGTCCTTGAACTAATCCAAATTTGCTGTGTTTACATTGCAGGTGGCCAGAATATTGTTGTTCATGTACATATTTTGTCATATGTACCTCCACTATGACCAGGTACATAGCAACCTACCTTTCTGACAATCTGAGAACATCAAATTTTACTCCAGTAGGGACAAATTTTAGCTGCAGCTATTGGCTGCTTAAAACCTGTTTGGCAATTCAAGGCCTAATATGGCCAAAAGTCTATAAAATCATCTAAAAACATTCTGCAAAATATGCTCATCTTCTGTTGAAATGGAGAAATTCTTAAACACCTGCCATTTTATCTAATTCCAGCCAAAAATTAAAGTAACTTCCACATTACATTTTTATAATCAGGCCGTGAAAGTAGTTAGTGTTTGATGCAAAAAATGTCGCAATCCAAAAAATGAAATTCACCAAACGGACGATCAATCTCTCCCAAAGTTACCAACTCCCTCGTATGTATACCATCCTATGTGCTCAACTTAGTCGTCGGCCCTTGCCTTGCTCACAGGTGAGGGAGATGCACACATGCACACTCTTCCTTGTTCTCATTGTGCCATCTGGCCTAGCTATCATGAACCTGATGTGGTTTGGGAAGATTATCATGGGATTGAAGAAGACGTTGGCGAAGAGGCACTAATATCGATCAGGTTATGCACCCCATAAAAGCGGCTTCGTGGGGGTCCTATGACAAGCAAATTCAGAGCACATAGTATGTATGCCAACAAAGAGAGACTAGGGGTGGTGGGACACTACATACCATTGCAAACATATGTATGCTCTCCTTACAACCGCAGGGTATGTCTTAATGCTCATTTCTTACGAATAGGTTGATATAGAAAGTAGTGTTGGACATAATATATATCTGTATACATAGAGGTTTTTCTTTTTAAATATCAAATTCAACTCCTTGTATATATCACAAGGAAATGAATCATTGACAACCTCGAGGGAGTATTTTGTATGGTATACTTTCTGAGACAAGTGACGACTACAAATGTTGGTATAATGAATGAAGGGTGGAATATACCCCGCATGTGATATAAGCGTTTTTTGGTGGTTTGGGGGGTGTAGATGGTGCAAGAGATTAGAGAATAATGAGGAGGTCCTTCGGGCCTCCTTGGTTAGTTTTGGAGATATGATATGAATTCGGAAATTAATTTTGAAATTTATGAGAAATAGTATGAGTTTTGAAATTTGAAATAAACTACTTTGTTTAAAGAGATTTGAAATCATAATTAAATTAGTAAGATGTTCTCGGTTCAGTTCCCATTTTTGAAAGCTTATCATGCTTTAGTCTAATTTTTTTTAGTTAAATTCAGGTTAGGTATTAAACGTTAACTTCTATTTGGATGACTGGAAAAAAGATAGAAAGAAAAGTGATTGAGAGAAATCACATATTTGATATTTCGGAGTACTTTCATCTTTTTTGGTTAGAGAAGAAAAGAAAGATGGAAGGAAAAAAAGTGAAGTCCAAAATACAACTTTTCTCTCCATAGGAACCAATAAGGCCCTTCGGAATGGGGCGTGTCCCCATGGCTTCACCATCCTCACGCCTTCCTTCAAGTTGCTCCACCATGCCACCCCTATTCTGAAGGGGCGTGGCCGCTTGTTGGGTGAATGGGTGATGGTAGTCTCGCCGTGGTGACTCTTTTTCCTCTATCTTTTATTTATTTTTCAATTAAATAAAATTTAACGCATATTCACTTTAATCAATGAAAAAAATTCACATTTTTACCCTATCACTTTTTGGTCATGCCCCCTTTCAATTCCCGTAAGATAAATTTTTTACTCACACCCTACCGCTTGCGAGGCGTCTGGGTGGCACTCCACCAAATTCCTGTCAAACCCGTCATAACACATACTCTAAGTGATCTTCATTCATTTTATTTTCTTTTCCCACATTTTCTCTCAATATTCTATCCATTCAAACACCAATTATTTTCTTTCTATTTTCTCTCCGTTTTCTTTTATCCTCAACTTCTTTTTTTTCATTTTATTCTCTCAACCAAACAAACCATTATGAGAGGCCAAGAGGTAAAATGAATATTATAATATAATCAATATTTTTTATTTTATGATTATTTTTTAATAAAATAAAATTAGTTAATTCATATAATAGAAAATTCATTCATATTATAATGTAATAATATTTTTTATTTTATGATTATTTTTTTGTGAAATAAGAATATTGATTTAATATTTTAATAATTAGTTCATATATACATTAGAATAAATATTTAATTTATATATACAATAAAAAGTAATTAAATTTAAATAATCAATATAGGGAAAAGATAGTATTTTTATTAAAATATCTCATCCCTATAAAAGATCAAAACTTTAGAAACTTAAATTACAGATAGCAATAAAAATGTATTTTAAAAGTATGATTAGATTGACATTGTCAATGTATTTTAAAAATAATTTTTTTTTGACATCTAATAATTAAGGATTACTTTCTCAGTACTCTATTTAACTTATTTCTAGAGTTTATTCTTTTTCATTTTAAAGAATAATAATAACAACAACAACAACAACAACAACAACAATTTTGTAAGAGAGGAATCGTGTAAAATATGAAATTTTTTCTTAAAAGAAAAGTTCAAACTTTTCAAGGCTCCGTTCCGTTCAACTTATTTTTTCTGATCTGATCTGTTTTTTTTGTAGTTCTGATCTGATCTGATTGGATCTGATTTGATCTGATCTGATTAATTATGATTTGATTTAAAATTCAAATCAATAATTTGATTTGACTTTATAATAACGTTTGAAAATTGTAATGATAACTCATATTATAATATACCCGAGTAAGCAATATTTTTTGTTTTATGATTATTTTTTAATAAAATAAAATTAGTTAATTCATATAATAGAAAATTCATTCATATTATAATGTAATAATATTTTTTATTTTATGATTATTTTTTGTGAGGCACAAGAGCAGGTGAAGCGGCACGGTGAATTACTCCCACGTCCTGCCACCATGCGTGGAATAGGCGAGGCACAAGGGTTTCACCCATCTTCCCGTGTCACGCGCGAGGCAGCTCCCTTCCCGAATTGTTTAATGTATTTTTTTGTATTATAAAAAAATATTTTTTTAAAGAGAGTAAATCTATTTTTATTTTTAAAAAAGATAAATAAAAATTTTTTTAATTATTAAAATATATCAAAAAGTGTAAAAACTGACAAAAACAATAACTTGCCACTACATGACATGTCACTCAACTCCCATACCGCATATTGATTGGACTGTTTTTGATTATTTGAAATCTTCCATGTGCTCGTGTGACATTTTTACTCTTGACTTGCCATATTGTCAATGCTCTAATTTAAGAAATGGGACGAGATAAGTACTCTGTTGTTACATACTCCCTCTGTCCCAGAGTATTCGTCTAGTTTTGACTTTTAGAACTGTTCATCTAAGTTCTTTGACTCATCAAATTCTCTCAATGTGTAAGCTTAAATATAGCCATGTGTGATCTTGTTTGATTTGTCTTAACATATAGATTATTAATATATAATTTCTATAACTTTTTAATATACAAATTATAAGATAAAATGGATTAAAGAAGTGTATTAGATGATATGTAAAAATGAAAGTGGACAAATACTCTAGGACTGGAGGTAGAGGTAGGACTGGACACGGTACCGGTTCGGTACCGTCACCGGAAACGGTACCGCCGGTATCGAGCACCGTAACGGCAACCAGGACGGCGAAACGGTTCCGAGAACCGGCACCGGTACCGCCACATCCGGTCTCGGTTCCGGTGCCCCAAAATCGTTACCGGCATCGCCGGTACCGGTGCCGGTTTTTTTTTTCTCCTTTTTGCTTACCAACGGATACCTGCAAAAAAAACAAAGTTAT